TCCTATATTTACAAATTATTGACATTGAGTTGGTTTAATGATGCTTGCGAAGTCTTACACACTCAATTCTTTCAGATAAACTCTAAATTATTTGTTTAAAAAATTACATAGGCTCTTGGCATACCTGCTAGAGTCCTTTTAAACATTTTAGTGACCAAAATATCTTTATCAGCAGAAGTTTGGGGAAGAAGGGGATAAAATTCAAACCAACCATTCCCATAGTTTTTATTAACTTTGTGAAACAGCGTGTCAAGAGAAAATAGTATGAGTTAAAATGAGTTTTCTGTATTATTTAGAGATTTTATTTACCCATTATATTAGAGACAGTAAATGTTTAAATTTCACTTAGGGTGCTTACTTCAGAATCTCAAACAAGAAAAGAATACCTACTTCCAGACATTTCAAGGGATATTAAAATTATCAGCATATGATAATTTTGGAGGCTTTGATTTATCAGATTGATTTCTGCCATCCAATAACCTACCATTTAGTTTGTGAAAAGAGGTATCATCTCCATGAGTTGAATAATTATCAAGGTAAAAGACAATAGTCATTCCAGAGAGCAAAGCCGGGCAGCCTCACATCTGCAATGAGTGTGACTGGCTTGCAGTCTGTGTCTCACCTCTGCTAGAAAGGGACGAATGGAATAGTCTGATATTAAGTTTAGAACCCAGAAAACATGAAATTAATTACTGTCTATCTAAGAAAGATGACGAGATAGAAAAAATGTCCTTCACAGGGATTATAGCCAATATTTTATAACAATAGATGGAACATAACAGTAAAAACTGTGAATCACTATGTTGTACACCTGAAATTTATATAGTATTGTAAATCAACTATACCGCAAGAAAAAATTGAAAACGGAAAAAAGAAAAGATGTCCTTCAGCATTGAGAACTAGTATAACTCCTGTGATCTAAGTCAAAACTCAAGAAATAAGCCTAAGGAATTTGAACTAAAAAATACTTACATTTTTTTTTAATTTAAAAAATTTTTTTTTAATTTAAAAAAAAATGTTTCTTAATTGAAGTATAGCTGATTTACAATGTTGTTTTAGTTTCTGATATACAACACAATCATTCAGTTATACATATATATATTCTTTTTCATCATAGGTTGTAAGAAATTGAATATAGTTCCCTGTGCTATACAGTAGAAACTTGTTATTTATCTAGTTTATATATATTTACATATAGTAGTGTGTCATTTACTAATCCCAAAGTCCTAATTTATCCTTCCCTCACCCTCTTCCCCTTTGGTAACCATAATTTTGTTTTCTACATGAGTCTGTTTCTGTTCTATAAATAAGTTCATTTGTATCATTTTTAGATTCCACATATAAGTGATATCATATGATATTTTTCTTTCTCTGACTTACTTCACTTAGTATGAAAATCTCTAGGTCCATCTATGTTGCTACAAATGGCATTATTTCATCCTTTTTATGGCTAAGTAGTATTCCATTGTATATATACACACCATAACTTCTTTATCCAGTCATTTAGGTTGCTTCCATGTCTTGACAATTGTAAATAGTGCTGCTGTGAACATTGGGGTGCATGTATCTTTTTGAATTTGAGTTTTCTCCAGATATGTGCCCAGGAGTAGGATTGCTGGATATGGTAAATCTGAAAAAATGCTTACATTCTTAAAGTTTATAATCACTTTGTGAATCTTTACCACTCGTTACTGGGACCAAAAATACAGGAACAAATGAACTATCATTTGAACTCATCCAAAACATTGACAAGCAACTCAAAATACATATCCTGGTTATGGTTGCTCATGCACATCAATCATACTGTCAAGAAACAAAATATATTATTAATCTAGTCAAGCAAATAACCCACTTCACCTTACAGCTATAACTTAAGAACTATAACCTCTCTCTCTGCCAAAGTCTTGGTGTATATCTAAGTGTGTATCTGTAGTAATATTTTGTTGTTAACCATTTATATATCCTTTTTATTTTTTATACACTGCAAATAATGGCTTTCAAAAATTAAGAAAAAAAATACAACAATTTCCAGGAGTCATAGCCATCCATCTTCAAGCAACAGAAATCCAGCAAACATGTGAGTCATACACCAAGTGAGTCAGTCAAATCAGAGGCTCTGCTGAACTGGTGATTCATCATTATACAGCATCCATATTCACGTTTTTCCTGTCGCTTGAAGGCAAACACGAGAGATTAAATTATTTTTAAAACCCATCTTCTTGACAAACACACCAAATTTGCGAGTGAAGCTGGTAACTTCATTTGATGCCAAGCTTCTCTGAAGTAAATCACATATCTCTGCACACCCCAACTGAGCCACGTCTATCAACAGCCACCGACAGATGCCAACCACACAGGGCAATACAGGAGAGAAAGACTGAAATGCCAGGTCTCGACCTTCGTGCAAACCAAGGGCTTAAAAAAGATGTTCTAAGTAAGGAAGAAGGAGCGCTGAGTTCCCATTTTCTCCCCCTGTAATGTGGGCAGATCACTGTATTTTCTTGTGAATCCCAGCATCATGGCTGGATAAATTAAAGTGATGCCAATTAGCCTACATGTCCCATCAGGTTAGGGTGGAGATTGAACATTTGGTTTGCGCTCTATACCACCAAAGGAAAAAGAGAAAAGGAAAGCATCTCTACTCTAGCCCTGTGCCAACAGTACCTGTAATACCCACTTTACAGGAATGAAGCTTTTGAATGAAGCAATCCATTTTCAACCCTGCTGCATGATAGGATCACCTGGGGAGCTTTTAAAAATCTCATTACCCAAGCCCAATCCCAGACCAACTAAATTACCATCTCTGGAGGTGGAGTTTAGCACTCACTGGTAATTCTTTTAAGTAACCCTGGTGATTCTGATGTGTGGCCAGGAGTGAAGGCCATGAGAAAGAACAGTCCCACACCAGCAGCTTCTGCATCATCTGGGAACTAACTTGTCTGAAATGAAATTCCTAGACCCCACCTCAGATGGACTGAGTCAGACACTTTGGGGACAGGATCCAACAATCTGATTCGCATTTTAACAAGCCCTCCCGGGGATACTGATGTAAGCTAAAATTATAAAATATTACGATGGAATAAACTATTAAAGGTCCTGGTTAAAACTCAGTGTTATCTAGAAATAGTAACATGTTAAATCGTTTCACTGACTCTAGCACTTTTTTTTAACATTTTTTATTGATTTATAATCATTTTACAATGTTGTGTCAAATTCCAGTATAGAGCACAATTTTTCAGTTATACATAAACATATATATATATACATTGTCACATTTTTTTTCTCTGTGAGCTACCATAAGATCTTGTGTATATTTCCCTGTGCTTTACAGTATAATCTTGTTTATCTATTCTACAACTTTTATTTAAGCTGTTCCTGAAAGAATGGGACAGAGGATAAGTAAGCTTAGATGGAAAAAGAAGTACAAAAAGAGACATAACCAGTGCTGTCTGATACAAAGATTATATGAGCCACAAATACAAGCCACTTTGTAATGTCACATTTTCTAGCTTCCACACTAAAATAATTTTTTAAAAACAAGTAAAATTACATTAAATAAAATTTATGTAACCAGATATATCCAAGAAGTCATCACTTCAACATTAATCAATATAAAAGTCATTGATAAGATATTTTATATTTTGTTTGAAAACAAAATATAAAAATTCTGAAAACTAAGTGTTCAGAATCCGGTATTTTACACTTAAAGCACATCTCAGTTTGTACCTACAGTTGGAGCTACATTTCAGGCTCTCAATAGCCACATGCAGCCAGTGGCTACCATACTGGATAGAACACATCTAGGTGATTGCTTCTCAAACCTTGATGTGCGTATGAATTACCTAGAAATTTTAGAAATGCACATTCTGATTTAGAAGATCTGGGATGGGGCTGGAGATTCTATTTTCTTATAAGTTCTCAGGCCTAGCCAAGTATAAAATTCTGTGGGGACAAATGCAAGATGAAAATACAAGACCCCCTGTTTAAAAAGCAGAAAAAAGTGCCTTCGAGGGTGCTAAAATATAAAACTTCGTCCTTTTTTCTGTGGTCTGTCTTCAACCTGTCATAGTGTTTGTGTTTTGCATTTGCTATTTGATGTTGCATTCCTTGGGCTTGGGATGGGTCAGGGGTAGCGATACCTGGGGTTAAATGCAGACCTCTACAGGCAAGGGTGGGGGCTACCCTGCAGTCTGGCCTGTGCAAACTGCGTCCAGGGTCCCTGAATCCAGGATACGTGTTGTTGTTCTTTATGTTGTAAAACCTGGAACTCTACCTACAGAAGAATTCTACATACACAATAGTTCTAAAACTTCCAGATTTTATACCGTAAAAGTAGATCTTTTTGCTTTCCTATGAGAGATACGTTGCCTCTTTCAAGCCTAAATCCCTTTACCCTCCAAAAGAAGGAGGTTTGGCTCTGAGAATCCTGGCAGTTTGCCTCAAAGGAGACAAGTATGCTGGCCTTTTAAACAGTGAGAGGTGTCGAATGGAGCCAGTGTCAAGAAAATCTGACCTTTCCCTCCCAGGTTCCTCCCTTTGACTTACTGGTCCCAAAACCCACAGAACCTGACTGCTTGTCAGAAACGGTGCAGGAAGAGTAGACCTATGAGAATGATGGGAAACTCTTATCCTAGCTTTCGTATAACTGATTAATAATCTTCCTTAAATCACAAAGCTTCTGAGGTAAATTAAAAAGAAGGTGTGCTACAAAAGACTACAATGAAAGTAAACAGACTACAGTGAAAGTAAACACCAAGAAAGATACAACTCAGATTGTATTGTTAGAATCAGAGAAAAAACAAGACTCCAATTTATAGGCCAAATAGTCCAAGAAGGTAACAATAGTAGGTTTGCAAATCATTTCTGAGTTTCTTGCCACCCAAGTAAAAATGGGAAGACTGAGTTTCATTGTTTTCACACATCCTCCACCAGGAGAAAACACCGATTTCCCAGAGACAGCAAAACAGCTTCAGTGCTTAAATCTAAAAGAAATTACTTACCTGGATGCTGAGCATTATGATGGACGATGTGCTCAATCATATTAGTAGGGGGTCGGGGAAAGATGCCAAAGCAATCTTCCTTGGCGGTTTCCTGTGGTTCCTCTGTTATAGGCAAAAGCACAATTGAAAATAAGAAATAGAAACAGTACGTCTATATCCCCTTGACAGGGGATTGTATCATTCCTCTGACACAGTTTCGTATTGGATTGTATATGGACATGTGTCTCACAGCTGGATTTGATCATCGGGAGGGGTAGAGGGCGGGTGGATACGGCAGACTTGCTGACAAGCAGTGCATATCAAACTCTTGGATGCGACAAGATCTACTGTTGATTGATTGTCTGACACTGTCAAGCTGCAGCAGAGACAGAATTCGTAGGCATGGTTGCGTGGTCTGTGATGAAAGGAGCAGGATCCCATATGAAGACCATGTTCTCATAACCTGTTACTACACATATGGTTGGAAACCACCTTATCGTCCATCTCTGGGAAAGCAAGTCATTTGGATAATGCAAAAGGCTGCAGACATGTGCAGATCTTGCGCTAGTGACTACAGAGACTGGTGGCCTCCTGAGAATGTCCAGACTTTCTGGATTAGTGTAAATGATTTAGCTTATAAATAAAAAGTCAGCCTGGCCAGCATCAAGCTACTAATGCTAAAGAAGTTATTAAAACAGAGCCAGGAGACATTACCAAATAAACTCTCTTCAACATGTGAAGCCACACGGCTCAGGTCCTCATTTGAGAACCGAATGACTGTCTCTTACAGACTCAGTCTCATGGAGATCAAGAAGGAAATATCCGTAAAGAGTCTATCACTAAAATAAATTACAAATTCCTTTACTGCATTAATAGTTTGCAGACCTCTGAAATCAAATTATATAGATTAGTGTGTGAAGGAAGAAAGGGATGTGACTGCAGTAAAGAGACACTAGGCATGGGGGTCTGATATCAGGAGAAAGAAAAAGTGAAATTTTTACAGTGTGAACAGATGGGGAGATAACTCTAAATGTAAACCCTGTGAATTTAAAGTTCTAAGATTCTATGAGACTCTGATCATAATAGAAGTTAATAGATTTCAGTCTCCAAATTGACTTTCTCATATTTCTTTCAGACATGAAAAATTCTGGATGACCACATCAACTTACAGTAAAGATATTGTTTAAATCCCAGAATTTAAACAAAACATCGCCACTTGTATGCATTGAGAATTTATCATTTTGCCATAAAATTAGAATTCTAATTTCCTGGGAATTTATTGAAGACATTTTTAAAGCCCCACCAAAGGGTTAAAATGCATGTTTATAGTCACTTTTATATTAATTAGTGTTTTTTTAAACTCTGGCTGCTATGCCAGTTATTATTTTGATTAAATTTTTTACTACTAGTGCTCATTTTAATGCATTTAATGTCATCTCTAATGGAAGGAAAGCAGTTTAATACCATCTGAAATTTGGTGGAGACTTTGTAAAGTTAATTTTTCTCCAAAAGTGAATCTTAAAAGTCCTTCCACTTTATAGCTTTGGAGCCAAATTCATGTCAATTTAACTTGAATGCTCAGTGACCCAAGAAGAGGATTACTAGCACCTTTCTTAGGCAAAGGAATATTGCCCTGAGTCTAATAAAGTTCTCACTGTCCAATCAGGTTTTCAGCAATTGAGTTCATCCTCATTCTCTTCTTTTCAACTTCACAGCAGAAGGAATAACCTTGGGATGTAGGTCTCCACAGGGCCCAGCCCCTTTAATCCAGGACCTAACATCACTAGGAAATCAGTACCCTGTTTCTGTCCTCTGCAGGGGAATCCGTGAGTGGACAGCACTCCTCCTTCACTGCACACATCACAGCTTGTGATCATACACTGGTGTGATTATTTAATTCATGTCGGTTCTTCCAACAGAACGTAGGTGCCTAACGAGTAGGCACAGAGTTTACTTGGCACACCCTTGTACCCTGGACTGTGGCAGGCCCTTCCCTGGCACCCAGTGATTGTTCGTTGACTGAATAAGTGAACATTTAAGCTGAGAAGAGACTAACAAACTTCATTGTCTGCCTCGCCCTTAATCCAAATGGTAGAAACAAAGAAAGATTTGGTTCTGATTCTCATATATACCTTAAACTTTTCTAGATATATTTTATATAATATTCTAGTTGGTATATTTTAGTTAGAAAACTACACTTTGATTTAGTAAGCAATTGGTGTGTTTACCACTATTTGGTAAACAATGAATATGAGCGAGCTACTGCATAACAGTCAGGAGTGCACAACACGTAGAGCTAAGGGACAGCGACAGGGAAGTTGTCTAGGACAAAAAGACCTAGAGGAGCTGAGGGCCTTTACAGGACTATCAGCCTCACAACCAAATTAGATCCACTCTTAGGAGAATTGCCTGTTCACGCTGGTGTGGTACCCAGCCTGGAGGAGGCCATGGATGTAGACAAAGATGCTTGTCTTTTCCCTCATCTCCTGATTCTTCTCTCTCATCATCACCTCCTGCACCCAAAGCTGGGGAGGGCTAAGAGATGCTCATTTAGATGAAGAGATTGTATTTTCCTATTTCCTGCCTTAATCTCTCTCTCTCTCTTTTTTTTTTAATTCTTAGTTTTTATTGAAGTGTAGTTGATTTACAATTTTAGTTCAGGTATACAGCAAAGCAGTTCAGTTATACATATACATTTTTTTTTCAGATTCTACATGCCTTAATTTCTTGGCAGGGAATCTTTACATTTTTCTCCTTTAGATTTTTTTTCCAGAATAGATTCAATTAGAATCCCCCTTAGAATTCAATCTTTCAAGTAATATAAATATACATATATTTTAAATGATTAGATTGTCAAAGACATTAGAACTTTTTTTCTCACTGTAAGAGAATGAACAATCCAGCGAGGTGGTCAGACAAGTGCTGCTCACTGCTAACCTACAGGAGAAGGGCCCCCCCATGGGGGCGATTGCAAGGCAGGGTCACTCCTTTCTGATTGGCCCACATTTTCCTCTCAGTGCTCTTTGGACAAGCTCCAGGGTGCATCTGGCACCAAGTTCTTATGCTGATCACAGAACCTTCTGTCTACTCTGCTCTGCACTTCCGTGTGAAGAATTCCAGGTTCCCAAATGCCCTTCCCTTTCTCTCTGTACCCAGATCTGAGATATCCAGCCAGCAAATTTACAATGATGATAAGCTGATAAGAGTTAAAGGAATTGGTCGCTAGGAGTATTCGTATTGGAAACCAGATGTAATGCCTTCAGCACGGAGAAGCAAATCTCTAAAGGTGGCCTTTCAAGGAGCACAGAACAGGAAGGTGCATGGAGTCAGTGAAGGTGGGAGAATATTCAAGGCTAACAATGGTGACTGTTGGACTGGCAGGTCGCAGCCCTGGAAATACACACATACACACAAGAAGGTCAGTTTACTTGGTGGCACATTTTTTTTCGTCTCTCCAGTGAGACGAAAAAATTTAGAAGGAAGAATTTGGGAAACGTGACGTCAGCAAGAAGGGAGAACTGTTTTGGTTGGTGGCATTCCCTACACTTCCTGTCACAGAGTCACTGAATGAATACACTTTGTTCATATTTCACCAGCCGAGTACTCAGCACTCAGTCCCTCGCCTCTGCTCCCTTAAACCCAGGTCACTGGAACCTTCAACTCCCCTCCCCTTATGCCCTTTCTGAGGACCTAGATCTTAGTGCAGGTGGTTTCAACTATTTATTAACCTAAACTACAGAGAAACTCCTGTTTCATCCTTTGTGAACATGTAGACTTCTCTTCTTTTTCCCCTTTACCTCTCCTCAGTGAACTTTCCCAAGAATCCTTGGAGAAAGGTAGGAGTTACTTTAAATAGCCTGAGAATTACTTCAGTTTTCATCTGTCTGTGGTCTTTGGCCCTGAAGTTAATCATTACTCTTAAAGAAGCTTGCTATCTCTTAGAATTGACAGTAGAACTGAACTTTTTCTCAAAAAATTCTAAGCTCTTCACACGCAGCCAAGTTTTGCAGTTTTGCAGCAATCAAAAAAAAAGAAAGGTTCCCCTTGGTCAGCAGTGGGAAGCAGGTGACAGGAACATGCATGCCCAGGTGAGGCCACAGTGAGTAAGATGGGCCACCCAATGTGGGGAAAATCAGCACCACCATTATTGCAAGACAGGCCTCTTCGAGTCTCAAGGCCAAGAGCTAGTGTGGCAGCAGCTGTTTGTTTCTCTTTGCCACAATTCTCCTGTCTCACCTCTTCCTCTTCCTTGCCCTTTTATTCAGAAGAAAACAGCAGCAATGAATCATCACGTATCATCTTATCTGCAGTGTTTCTGTTTGCTAACTATGTATGCTGAGTGCCAGGTCAGCATCTCTTGTATCAAATCTCTTCCCCTCCCCCCAGTTTGATCCTCCCCTCCTAAATCTAACCCAGCCTCTCTGCCTCCCAAACTTCTCTTCTTCCCTTCTCCTCACCATTGAGGCCTACTTATCCAGGGTCTAACCGCTGACCACCAGACAATCCTTGGTTCCCAGGAGGACAAGGACCACATCAGATAGTCAGCTTTTAATTTAGTTTCAAGAAGGCTCCAAAACAAGGCTATGTTGATGCAAACAGTAAGCAATTTTATATGGAAAATATGCTTATGGAGACAGAGAAATTAAGAAATTCTAGCTTTAGGTATCAATTCAGGTAGACAAGAAATCCAACTGTGAGAGCAAATGACCATTAGCGTATCATAGTACAGCTACAGTTGTAAGATAGTCAAGAGAGAGCAAGGGCAGAGTGCGGAGGGTAATAGCTTAGTGGTAGAGTGCATGTTTAGCACGCACAAGGTCCTGGGTTCAATCCCCAGTGCCTCCATTAAAAAAAAAAAAAAGAGCAAGGACAGAAAATGGGCCACCACCATAGGCTACCACATGCACTAGATATTTTAAATGCATTGATTCAATTCCATTCCACACATATCAAGAGCTGACAATGTGCCAAGCACTATGATACGTACCAGATAAACAAGACACGTCAGTTTCCTGTCCTCACAGAACTTGCAGTTTAATAGGCAAGAGACACAAAGTACATATGACATGAAAAGAGCTGTGATGGGAGAACATGGTGAAGTTGGGGTCCGTAGGAGGATTCCTCCCCGGAGAAGTTCAGTGAAGGCT